CTACACAGGCTCCTCTGACAGTCTTAATCAATACCATTGCCCAATAGCCTTTCCTAATCAATAGTGATGGCCACCCTACTGGAGTTACGAGTTGCAGCCTATAGATTTAATCAAGTATAAAAACAGGTTATGTTGTCTGAAATCCAAGTTATTGATAAAGTAAGTCACCAACATTTAATATTTGAAGAGTTGCATGTAGAAAAGTTTTCTGAAATCCAGAAGAATTGACAATATTGGCTATTGTCTACTACACGTGACTTCTCGGCTAATGCAAGCATAGCTGCACTGTTGGGGGGGCGGGGTTATGAGCACTTGTTCTCCCACGTGAGGCCTTTGTTAATGATCTGCATGGACTCTCCTTTTTCTGTCCAGTATCCCATACTTTGAGAAGGTTAATTACTTGTAAACTTCTCTCATTTTCTCCTTTCTTTCTTTTCCTCTCTTCCCTCTCTCCTTCCCTTTTCCTTCTATTTTTTTCCTCTCTCCTTTTATTTTTTTTTGCAAATGAACACATACTGAAATAAACAATAGGGACATGTAAATTTGGATTCATATAAGTTTTCCGTAAAGGACAATTTTCAAACCACTGTTAATTTTTTATTATAATTATTCTGACTTCATGCATGTCTATCCTATTGAAAACCATAGCTTAAGGTGGCACAAATTCGACTTCAATGTTGTGGCCCATTACTGAATTAAGTCCTAAATCTTACCTTTAAAAATGTATCTAAAGAGCCATTTTCCATATACTCTGTCACTATCATCACTGGTTTACCTGAAAAGAAAGCAGAGCGAGATAAACTGCTGCTCCTCGATTCTGCATTCTTAAATTGGAAAATGTTTCCCAAAGTCTTTATTAGTGACCAAACTATATAAATTCATTTAAAAGATGTGGTCTTGAAATACCATGATGACATGATGGTCTAATGGAAACTCTAAGTGAGACATAGTGTCACAAGGTTAATAACAGAATGACATTTATGATAAATACACACACACAAACACACACTGCCAATTCAGAACCACTTTACACGGAAGAGTTTTATTTTGTTAGGTTTTTGCCATAAGGTGTGGATGCTCACCAGAGAGGAGACAGAGAGTGATGAGAGAGGGAGAGTGAGGGATAATCCCCTGGGGGGGGATGGCCACTCTGCAATCTCTTCTCCTCTATTCTCCTCCAGGGATTTTGGGATACAAGCACCCTGGATTCATGACTCAAACCATGGTTAGCCATGTAGGAGTCCAACCACCTTAACTGCTATGCTACCTGCTGGCCCCTTGAAAATGAATTTTAAGAATTAATTCTACTTTAATGTAGTTAACATATCAAATATTACCTAGAAAAGAATTTGGAACATATCTTTCTGATAATTGTAAATAAAAAAAACTCCTATCCTGTCTAACTTCCCAGTCCATGATTCCTTTAATACATCTAATACTACCTACCTTTATTTCTATGTCCTTGTAACCTTTTCTTAGGGTCACCTGGCTTTTCTCTCTCCACCACTTATCTACCTAACCTCTATCTACCCCACTTATTTTTCTATTCTTTAAGGGCCTGTCTATTGGAAAACTCCTTCCTATTGGAAAGCTTCCCTTGCAACCATTGTCATTTCTGATAGGAGGGGTTACCCAATCAGTCCGACATGGAAGGGTGGCCTAGAGGTTAGGTGGGCAGTGTGGAGCCATACTTCTTGGCTTTTAATCCCGAACAATCACTCACTATCATGCAAGGGCTCCACTCACTGTCATGTGATCTTGGGCATGTCAATTATCATCACTGGGCCTCAGTTTCCTCATCTGTAAAATAAGACTAATGACCTCATAGTATCATTGTGAGAATCCACCAAGTTGAATGGTAATCCAAGGCATTTACGTAACACTTACCACCTAGAATTGGCCATGTAAGAGTTAACTATTATTATTTTATAAACTTTTTGATTTTCATCTGTGGGTTAACTTCCTAGCTACAATAAGGTAACTAACAGTATAGTAGTTACCTGTCCAAATATGAGCTGAACAATGATGACCTTCAAAGACCAGCAGGGCACAGACTCGCTTGCTGCATAGCTGGCAGGGGCTAAAGGAAACTGTTTCAGCCAGAGAAGGCCAGGAGCGGCTTATTTAGGAGCACAAGATGCCTGGTGCTCCACAGCTGCCGTTGACAATAGAAAACAACTGGGTTTACCTTCTGCTGCTCTCCCCCCATTGCCCTATGAAAGGGTAAACCTAGGAACCACTCAGGGTCCCAGCAATCTCCATCAGAGACACCCATTCTGCCTGATCCCCACTTTTCTCTACTTGTCTCTGTTCTTTCCATATCCATAGCTGCTGCCACTTAGAGTCTCCCACTCACCCCACTTTATTGAGTGGGGACAGAGTATATCAGACATCCCCCACGAAATTGTGACACTTTGTACACAAAATGTCTGCAATATAAGATGAAAACACAAGATCAAAACTCCTTGCTATTTGAGAAACCATCTGGAACATAGTTGCTAGTTTTATCACTCCATATTAACCTCACTGTATTTTAAAACATGTCCCTTTATTCTTCAATTAAAAACATGCCACATAAAATTTAAGTGTTAATTTAAACTATTTTGAGGTAACAAAAAGGAGATGTTATGACAACAAAATTACTGTATGTCCATTAATTAACTTTTTATACTGTGAAGGGAAACAGGCTTATGCACTCGTGAAATGCATTATAATGAACTAAATGGGTCTCTCTGGAAGAGTATCTGTATTTTACTTGAAAATTGATTAAATCAGGTCATAGAATTAGAGCTTGCATTTTTATATACTCAACATTATTCAAAAGTGTAAACAGATACAGCAAGTTTGACAACTACATATGAAAGAGAAATAATAGAAGAAAAAGGATATTTTATCCCAAGACTATTTAAAACTCATTGTTTAGAATAATAAGGTAGGAGAGTCTAATTTTATAAAATGTGCATAGGGCATATGTTTTACTGGGGGAGAGGGAGAAGGAGAAAGAGAGAGCGAGAGAGAGAGAAAGTGAGAAAGTACCTCCCAGAGGGGAATGGCCATGCCACAATTCTATGTCCTCCATTCTCCTATCAGGATTTTGGGCAACCACGTATATGTGTCCAGCATGTTTTTCAAGCTGCTGGGTCCAGGACTCAAAATGTACAGTCAGTCATATGGGTTGCAGGTGCCTTAACTACCATGCCACTGGCTGGCCTGGATGGTCTAATTATTCACTTGGATAATTATCTTCTTTTAAAATATTTTAGAGGTGATACTCATTGAACAGAATGTGATACAATACAAAGGCAGACACATTTTCTTCAGTCTCTTTAAAGTTGACAAAAGTTATAAACAGGTTCGTCTAAAATAATGCACTTGGTTTATGTTTGTTGATGCCTGCGTTAGTAGGCATCACATACGCAGAGAATGTGCACTGGAGATGTCATTTGATTGGAACCTTGAGGAGTGAAGGAGTTCTGGTGTAGAAAGGTGACCGGTATTCCAGAAAAAGAGGCAGCCCAGGCAGGGGCAGTTTGTCATACAGGATTTTCAAATATGACTAGAGCTCTGATTTTTGCCTTTTATAAAAAACAGGAAATGATGAGAAATGCGGAATACTGATTCTCAAACCAGATATAAATGCAATCTTTCAGGAAAAAAAGATTTGATTTAAATTATATTTGCAAATGACTCTGACAGCACAACAGGAAACAAAAAAAACTATAAATATTTTTTTCTCTTTAGTATAATTGTCATCTATGTTCATGAATACAGAAATGCTTCCAATTTAAACTTTATTTTAATGCTATTGCATTAAAGAACCTCAGGAGAGCTGTAAAATAGACGAAATTCTGCTTTGGGCCCTTTGGGTCCCATTCTCACATCTCAGAGTCCATTTCAACCTTTTATTTCTGTCTAAAGTGCTTTTCTCTTAAGAGTCAAAACTAATATACTTTTCCCAGGGGTGACAGCCAACCTGTTTTGGTGTGGGTACTTACAGGGCAGAAATTATAACCGCCACCATGCAGAAGTATCCTGGGTATACTGCAATAGCAGATGCCACCCTTTTGTTTGCCTGATTTCTGGAGGTAGGAAGTTCTCAGGGACAAAGCTGAGTATTCATATAAAGAGGACATGTCGGTATCAATGGCATCAGCTTTTTAGAAAACAGTCTAGGATTATTTAAACAAATTTATAGCCCATAGAGCCAAGGTTATGTGCTTCTGAACATCTGCCCTGATCTGTCTTGAAGGAGCCTAGAATGTTTGGAATCAACCTGTGATTCCAGGGATCCTCCTCATGTGGCTTTTCCTCTGGCTCTTCCTGACCTCTTTCATCATGTACAGAAATCCGTCTAGGGGGTTGTCGTGTTATAGAGGAGTGGAATAACTAATTCCAATAGATAGAGAGGGAATATAGTTTATAGTTTGTTGCATGAGCAGACATCTTGTCCATCAAAGCAAGACACTATACATATTACACTATGTTTGTAATTCTCTACTTTACTCGTCTTTTATGTTTGTGGGGTTTCTCTCCACTTCTACTTACGACCCTTTCCGTTTCCTTCTTTCCTTTCCTACAATTTCTTTTCCTGCCTTTCCTCTCAGATTTTCGACTCTCTTTCTACAGTTATATCAATGGTAAATATTTACTGCCATCTACCTAAGAGCTAGTAAGTGGGATTTGGATAGAATTCCCTGGTCAAAGTATATCTTTCTTGGGTAAATCTATATATTTTGGTTTGATCCAAAATTCACTGAATTTAGAAGACAGATCTTATTAATTTTGTAAAGAAAAAGTGATTACTTCTTAGAAAAATGGGCACGTTGTATTTATTCGCTAAGATTTTTCAACTAGCATCACCTGGTTTTAAAGTCAGATTAATTATTCATGACAGTGTGGGTTATGAAATCAAAACTGAAAACATTATTTGAGAAATACAATAGGAGCCTAAAACACCTCTTATATTTCAGAGGATGGGGAAAGAGCAGTTAAAATGAATGTTTGTAAACAAGCATGATCTTCTTTCATTGACAAGAATAAGACGCTTCAGGACCCATCCGATTATTTTTCATGCTTGAGTCATTTTAATGCTAATTACATTTACTTTGGCTTATGTTTTGTCTCAGTTCCTGCTAGCCTGCAAGAATGACATAGCAATAATTAATGTGGCTTACTCAAACTCTTGTAAATTCAATAAAACCGTATAAATCATTTTCCATTATCCAGTTTCAAGTAGGAAGAATAGATCTGCCAATAATTTTGAAAGCATACTATCAAAAATCCATATAAAGAGAGCTCATAAAGCATGTCAAAACATGATTAATCACAGAGTAGAGTTTTTGTGTTATTTTATATTGCATACCAAGGGTTCAGTATATGCAATCTAAGAAATAATTGAAATACATTATTTGTGGAACTTGACTTTGTTATTGATAATCATAAAAGAGCTCCAATTTATAGATTTATTGAGCACCTACTCTTTATAAGGTGCTGTGTTATAATCAATTGTTAGTAAAAATTTGTAGCAGTCAAATTATAATAGAGATTTTTCAGATAAAGTAAAGGCTTAATATATTACTTGGGTTGACTAGTGAAAGTCACACAAGAAGCAAAATTGGGAATCAAATTTATATCGGTTTGAATATAAAGGCTGCCTACCTTCCATACTATGATGCCTATAATTTCAAAATATTTACTTTAAACTTTGAATTATTGTATTTTAACACAAACTTGATATCATCACTGTGTTATACCAAACTATTTAAGCACTGATGG